TGGGAGGTGTCTATTTATTTGTCTGTCTGATAGAAATTCGTTAGCTGAAAGAATAGCAGGTGTAATATTCTTGTGAATAGGATACTTTAGAAAAAGCTGTTATCTGTGCTTACACTGTTCACTAAAATCCGAAAGTTTTGTTTTTACAATTTTTCTTGAATTTGATTCCATACTGGTTTCACCTTATTACTGCAATAGATATTAATATGAACCTCTCTAGCTCAGTTGGTAGAGCGTCAGCCTTTTAAGCTGGTGGTCAAGGGTTCGAGCCCCTTGGGAGGTGTCTATTTACTTGTCTGTCTGATAGAAATTCGTTAGCTGAAGAATAGTAGGTGTAATATTCTTGTGAATAGGATACTTTAGAAAAAGCTGTTATCTGTGCTTACACTGTTCACTAAAATCTGATTCGTGAAAGCGAAAGTTTTGTTTTTACAATTTTTCTTGAATTTGATTCCATACTGGTTTCACCTTATTACTGCAATAGATATTAATATGAACCTCTCTAGCTCAGTTGGTAGAGCGCCAGCCTTTTAAGCTGGTGGTCAAGGGTTCGAGCCCCTTGGGAGGTGTCTATTTATTTGTCTGTCTGATAGAAATTCGTTAGCTGAAAGAATAGCAGGTGTAATATTCTTGTGAATAGGATACTTTAGAAAAAGCTGTTATCTGTGCTTACACTGTTCACTAAAATCTGATTCGTGAAAGTGAAAGTTTTGTTTTTACAATTTTTCTTGAATTTGATTCCAATGGTTTCATTCCACTGTATAAGATATCAATATGAACCTCTCTAGCTCAGTTGGTAGAGCGCCAGCCTTTTAAGCTGGTGGTCAAGTGGCTCGAGTCTATTTATTTGTCTGTCTAATAGAAATTCGTTAGCTGAAGAATAGTAGGTGTAATATTCTTGTGAATAGGATACTTTAGAAAAAGCTGTTATCTGTGCTTACTGTTAGGTTCATAGCTTGGAAACACAAGTGAGGAAGAATTCTGAAATTACAACAAGATTATAAGAATCTTGAGGGGGCGAAAGGGCTTTTTGATGGTGGAATGAATGGAAGAAGACAGACTGAGTTCAGAAAGTTTGTTGGTGTGAAAATGCCAATTGGGACAGAAAATACAAACAAAAAAGGATAGAAAAGACAAGAACAACAGGAGAGGGCTTTGGCCTTGAACGGATCAAAAGGTAAATCAATAAGAAATATATCACTGTTGTCGCAATCGGAATGGCGTGAGGCTTTAAATCAAAAGGTCGAGGGTTCAAGAACCGGTAATTGCTTTTTTTCTTGACATCAAATGACACAACTTATGTTCTTTAAGCCGAAAACCCTACACGACCCCCTCCAGAACATAAGTTGTGCGAACCTGATCCAGTAAACACTTTTGATTGTGATGTTGCGGCCAATCCTCTTTTCAAAATAATGTGTTCCATCAATGAATATATTCTGGAAAATGAATTCTCAAGCAATTCATGAATTGTTGACAGCTGATGTGGGAGAGCACGAGAACGCAAGGAAAACCGTTTGACGGTTTTTTTCACAAAGTTGCAAAATTGATTCAAAATTGGCCTTTTTTCTTCGGTATCCCCTGTGATTTCTTTTCCTCTTTTCTGCAGTATTTTGAAACCACGGCAATTCTGTGTAAGATTCAAAGATTTTGGACTTTTTCACATAAACAAAATATAGTTGATTTTCTGAATCCTTCTGCCAGTTGAGTCGTCTTTTAAATGGTGGAGGTGGTTGATTTTGTGGAGTTGGAATTGGATTTTCTTTCAATGGGCGATTCCTCTTTCCCGAGTCGCTCCAAAGAGAGGCAAATCCTTTTAATATTCTCTAAGAATTGCGGCCATTCCTCATCAAGAAATTTGAGAAGTTGAAGTCCTACGCATCCTTCATCTTCAGACCACTTGTTAGGTTCATAGCTTGGAAACACAAGTGAGGAAGAATTCTGAAATTACAACAAGATTATAAGAATCTTGAGGGGGCGAAAGGGCTTTTTGATGGTGGAATGAATGGAAGAAGACAGACTGAGTTCAGAAAGTTTGTTGGTGTGAAAATGCAATTGGGACAGAAAATACAAACAAAAAAAGGATAGAAAAGACAAGAACAACAGGAGAGGGCTTTGGCCTTGAACGGATCAAAAGGTAAATCAATAAGAAAATATATCACTGTTGTCGCAATCGGAATGGCGTGAGGCTTTTAAATCAAAAGGTCGAGGTTCAAGAACCGGTAATTGCTTTTTTTCTTGACATCAAATGACACAACATTATGTTCTTTAAAGCCGAAAACCCTACACTTACACTGTTCACTAAAATCCGAAAGTTTTGTTTTTACAATTTTTCTTGAATTTGATTCCATACTGGTTTCACCTTATTACTGCAATAGATATTAATATGAACCTCTCTAGCTCAGTTGGTAGAGCGCCAGCCTTTTTAAGCTGGTGGTCAAGGGTTCGAGCCCCTTGGGGAGGTGTCTATTTACTTGTCTGTCTGATAGAAATTCGTTAGCTGAAGAATAGTAGGTGTAATATTCTTGTGAATAGGATACTTTAGAAAAAGCTGTTATCTGTGCTTACACTGTTCACTAAAATCTGATTCGTGAAAGCGAAAGTTTTGTTTTTTACAATTTTTCTTGAATTTGATTCCATACTGGTTTCACCTTATTACTGCAATAGATATTAATATGAACCTCTCTAGCTCAGTTGGTAGAGCGCCAGCCTTTTAAGCTGGTGGTCAAGGGTTCGAGCCCCTTGGGAGGTGTCTATTTATTTGTCTGTCTGATAGAAATTCGTTAGCTGAAAGAATAGCAGGTGTAATATTCTTGTGAATAGGATACTTTAGAAAAAGCTGTTATCCTGTGCTTACACTGTTCACTAAAATCTGATTCGTGAAAGTGAAAGTTTTGTTTTTACAATTTTTCTTGAATTTGATTCCAATGGTTTCATTCCACTGTATAAGATATCAATATGAACCTCTCTAGCTCAGTTGGTAGAGCGCCAGCCTTTTAAGCTGGTGGTCAAGTGGCTCGAGTCTATTTATTTGTCTGTCTAATAGAAATTCGTTAGCTGAAGAATAGTAGGTGTAATATTCTTGTGAATAGGATACTTTAGAAAAAGCTGTTATCTGTGCTTACACTGTTCACTAAAATCTGATTCGTTGAAAGTGAAAGTTTTGTTTTTACAATTTTTCTTGAATTTGATTCCAATGGTTTCATTCCACTGTATAAGATATCAATATGAACCTCTCTAGCTCAGTTGGTAGAGCGCCAGCCTTTTAAGCTGGTGGTCAAGTGGCTCGAGTCTATTTATTTGTCTGTCTAACAGAAATTCGTTAGCTGAAAGAATAGCCAGGTGTAATATTCTTGTGAATAGGATACTTTAGAAAAAGCTGTTATCTGTGCTTACACTATTCACTAAAATCTGATTCGTGAAAGCGAAAGTTTTGTTTTTACAATTTTTCTTGAATTTGATTCCATACTGGTTTCACCTTATTACTGCAATAGATATTAATATGAACCTCTCTAGCTCAGTTGGTAGAGCGCCAGCCTTTTAAGCTGGTGGTCAAGGGTTCGAGCCCCTTGGGAGGTGTCTATTTATTTGTCTGTCTGATAGAAATTCGTTAGCTGAAAGAATAGCAGGTGTAATATTCTTGTGAATAGGATACTTTAGAAAAAGCTGTTATCTGTGCTTACACTGTTCACTAAAATCTGATTCGTGAAAGCGAAAGTTTTGTTTTTACAATTTTTCTTGAATTTGATTCCATACTGGTTTCACCCTATTACTGCAATAGATATTAATATGAACCTCTCTAGCTCAGTTGGTAGAGCGCCAGCCTTTTAAGCTGGTGGTCAAGGGTTCGAGGCCCCTTGGGAGTGTGGTCTATTTATTTGTCTGTCTGATAGAAATTCGTTAGCTGAAAGAATAGCAGGTGTAGCTGAAAGAATAGCAGGTGTAATAGTTCTTGTGAATATGGATACTTTAGAAAAAGCTGTTATCTGTGCTTACACTGTTCACTAAAATCTGATTCGTGAAAGCGAAAGTTTTGTTTTTACAATTTTTCTTGAATTTGATTCCATACTGGTTTCACCTTATTACTGCAATAGATATTAATATGAACCTCTCTAGCTCAGTTGGTAGAGCGCCAGCCTTTTAAGCTGGTGGTCAAGGGTTCGAGCCCCTTGGGAGGTGGTCCTATTTTATTTGTCTGTCTGATAGAAATTCGTTAGCTGAAAGAATAGCAGGTGTAATATTCTTGGTGAATAGGATACTTTAGAAAAAGCTGTTATCTGTGCTTACACTGTTCACTAAAAATCTGATTCGTGAAAGCGAAAGTTTTGTTTTTACAATTTTTCTTGAATTTGATTCCATACTGGTTTCACCTTATTACTGCAATAGATATTAATATGAACCTCTCTAGCTCAGTTGGTAGAGCGTCAGCCTTTTAAGCTGGTGGTCAAGGGTTCGAGCCCCTTGGGAGGTGTCTATTTACTTGTCTGTCTGATAGAAATTCGTTAGCTGAAGAATAGTAGGTGTAATATTCTTGTGAATAGGATACTTTAGAAAAAGCTGTTATCTGTGCTTACACTGTTCACTAAAATCTGATTCGTGAAAGTGAAAGTTTTGTTTTTACAATTTTTCTTGAATTTGATTCCAATGGTTTCATTCCACTGTATAAGATATCAATATGAACCTCTCTAGCTCAGTTGGTAGAGCGCCAGCCTTTTAAGGCTGGTGGTCAAGTGGCTCGAGTCTATTTATTTGTCTGTCTAATAGAAATTCGTTAGCTGAAGAATAGTAGGTGTAATATTCTTGTGAATAGGATACTTTAGAAAAAAGCTGTTATCTGTGCTTACACTGTTCACTAAAATCTGATTCGTGGAAAGTGAAAGTTTTGTTTTTACAATTTTTCTTGAATTTGATTCCAATGGTTTCATTCCACTGTATAAGATATCAATATGAACCTCTCTAGCTCAGTTGGTAGAGCGCCAGCCTTTTAAGCTGGTGGGTCAATGACAAGAGATAGAGCTCGAGTCTATTTATTTGTCTGTATAACAGAAATTCGTTAGCTGAAAGAATAGCAGGTGGTAATATTCTTGTGAATAGGATACTTTAGAAAAAGCTGTTATCTGTGCTTACACTGTGCTTACACTATTCACTAAAATCTGATTCGTGAAAGCGAAAGTTTTGTTTTTACAATTTTTCTTGAATTTGATTCCATACTGGTTTCACCTTATTACTGCAATAGATATTAATATGAACCTCTCTAGCTCAGTTGGTAGAGCGCTAGCCTTTTAA